CTTGCCAGGCAAGCGCTTATTCTACTCAGCCATTTCCCTGGCCCCAAAATAATCTTTAAATTGGGTAAAAAGGTATAGGGCTTATGCATTTCTCTTCCTTTTATAGTTATGTTTTCCTTCACTTATACTGTTTCATTTTCATAGAAAAACAATGTACTGTAATATCCAGGGTTATTTGCTTTTGCCTAAGGAATTTTCATTATTTTGTGTTTAGAGCGTACACTAGCAAGTTTTGTTTAACAGTGATTTTCTTTATTTTTTCCCAAGTTTTGTTTAACTATGATTTTCTTTATATCTCCTTCACTTATAGAAAGATGGTACAATAACTAAACATACTTTTTTTTTTAGTAAATCTCTTAATGAAAACATAAGTTTTATGTGTTTCTTGAGCAGAATGTATTTAATGGGGAAAAGAAAGCTCCTGTCTGGGAGAGGGACTGGAGGGGGCCCCGAAAGGGTGATCCCTGGGAAGCGGTCTCTTCCAGGGACTTTTATAGAGTAACACTGCGGTGAGGCATGTTTACAACTGTGGAGACATGGGAACTCGCTTAGGTGGGCATGAGGTGCTCACCTGGCAGGGGAGATACCATGATCATGAAAATGTAATTTTTGTTTTATTGTCTTTGAGTAGAAATTTGAAAATAGTATGATTGAAATGCATCAACAATTAAATATTATAGAAGTGTTTTTAACTCATATTCCAGGTAAAATAAATATGATTTTGAGTAATCTTTTATATAAAAAATGACTGCTAAAATGTCAATCTGGACAGCACTTATTAAAGATAAAAAATACTTTGTAATCTTATTTTTTAAATCACCCATCGTAAAATAATTTATTAAATCTATCTATGAATTATTTGCACTTACTACTTTTAAGGATCCCATGCAGCTATCTTTCTACTATATAGGCTAATAAGAAAGGGAATTATCAAAAGTAAATGTAATTAAAACATTATATGTACTCAATTTACTTAATTTTCTTGTCATTAGGCATATTCAATTAATATCATTGCAACAAACAACTTCTGAGAATGATGAATTGCAGTACTTGGCATTCTGTACTTACTACCTTACTACCTTACTCACCAGGGTTACAAATCTAAAGTGTACCACTCCTAGAATCCTTCATAAAAGTTTTGAATTCCATGATAGCCTGCATTCTGGCAATCAGCTGTTTAGAGCACTTTGAAGGTCAACACATCTTCTAAGAATTGTGGTTAACCTCGCGGTTATAAGGTTCATGAGGCAGAGGATGATATGAAGCAAGAGGAGTGTTTGCTGCAGAAAAGCTCTGTCTTCGAGGGGCTTTGGCACTGGCTGCTTTCTTTCCTTGCTTGGTAGCAGTAAAATCAGGTTTCATCAGCCTTCTAGAGCTTCCATACAA